TTATCTTCATTTTCCTAATCTTGTGTTCTTATCTTAATTTCCCAGTAACTTTATTTCCTATATAAAAACCCTAGATTGCAACAACAATCTAATCCATCTTCCATCTTGTTCTTTGATTTAGTTTAGATCTCTAACCTTGATTCTCTAACTATGAGCAACGTCATCACTCTGCTTTCATCTCCTATCATTTACTAATTTTTTATCTTCTCAGCTTGTTATACTTGTAACAAGCGACACGTGTATGACAATTATCTTTAATCAATCAATATGTTTAAAAAAATGAAATACTTGAAAAAAAACTCATATCTAAACAATTTGAGATTTGATAATCTTATGGCCAAATATGTTGAGTTTTTGTTGTCAAAGTCACATCCTTAACTTGATTTGATCCATGTCAGTACAACACTCAAAGATAGTTTTTTTTTATAGATCTTGAGTATTTCAGAATGTAACAATTGATAGAATTAAGAGCATGAGTCTAATTAAGTTCAAGATCTGTCTTTGATAGTTCAAATTCAACAACTTTAATCATAAGGTTCTCAAAACTTACGTTGTTTATATATGAGTTTTTTTTCAAGTGTTTATACTATAAAATTTAAAACATTCACTCTTTGAGTATGGAAGACAAGACTAATATATGTGTATTGCAACCGTTTGACTTAGGTTAGGCTTGTGCAAATACATATATTTGACACATGTTGCACATTAAGGGCGTGCATTGTTCGATATCAGAAATTATTTGATCCAAAACTTTAGATATACGAAAATTCGGATCATTAAAATTATGGTCCTTATTCTATACAAAAAATAAGATATCTAGATCCGAATATAAAATTTAATTTGATAAAAAATTTAGATTTAAATTTTATATTTTGTGACTTTATGCAAAATATTTTATACATCTACTATATTCTATAGAATCTATACATATTTAACCATTAACAAACAATAAATAATTAAATATCTTATTTTTATTGGAGTAGAGCCTTAGTGAGTTACTCACTGAGTGGACTAAAGGTTACCTAAACTCTAAAGACCTATTTTTTGAGATTTTCAGATAATCTGAAATTAGAATTTTGTTTGTTCGTATATGATCCGATTATCATTTTTTTCTCGGATATTCAATCTGAATTATCTGAAAAAATAGATTGGACCAAATTTTCAGATTGAATCAATGGATCAATGGACCAGATCAATGAGATCAAATTTGTTACACCCATACCACACGTGTTTTTTCGTTTTTGGATAAAATTCATATAAATCTTCTTAAGTTTTTTACCTTTTTTATTTCTATTTTGGCGCAACCTTCTCACAGAAGTAACATCACGTTGGTAAAAATGAGGCCAGTAGGAAATGTGTTTAGCATGGCATACCTTTATCCTACGACACAAAAGAATACCTTTAATATGAAAAGATATTAATTTAGGAAATAGTTTATGGGTGATATTCGGGTTAAAAAAGACGTAATAAGCAACATGCAGCAAATGGATTACCAATTTGTTTAGACTTTATCATGGCCTGGATCAATTAAACCTATACATATGATCAGATGGCTACTTTCGGTTGCCCTGATTTTGGTCTAGGATCCATTGATAATGTTATTCAAAAGTGGAACATGTGATCTGGCCCACCCCACCAATTACTGAACGTGAGAACAAATATCCGCCCATTCCCTTTTTTCCTCAGCTACATAAACACGAGTGATTAATTATGGGACCGCATGATGTTTTGCGGGGAGTTTTGGTCCAACACACTGTTAAAAGCCAAGTGAAAATGCACAGCTTGTTGGGTATAATCACAGCAACGAAACGACCCTTGTCGTCAAAATGTCAATAATTATGCAAAGATTGTTGTGTTTAACTTGAACAACATTTTTATATGCTGGAACAGATATGCTGATTTGAATGAAACCCTGCATTGGGGTGCTTATCTTTTCAAGAAACCAATCATACATACGTGATGATAAAATTCAAGCCATTTCACGAATTTTGTATTAATTTATTCTGAATGATTTTTCTTAAAGAAGATATACTCGGTAAATCAAAGTATATTTACTAAATACTTATTTTTTTTAATTGTCATAATTACAAAATAATATATATTTAGAATTTTTATTATGATAATGCGCACACATTATCAAAGTATATAATCAAACAAAAAAAAAACACTTCTTTCGCTAAAACCATGCAATGCTCAATGTCGTTACTCTTTGTGATATACACCCTACAAATACAACTGGTCGAATTTAAAATCTATAGGGAAAAAATATTTGTTTCACTAGAACCATGCAACGTTCAAAATTATCATATTTACCCCTTGTAACATTTTACTTGTAATTATTCATAAAATCCAAGGATCAACGTGAAATTTGCTTCCATCTTCAATAATTTGACTGTTTTTCTTCAATAATTGGTCTAAATAAACCAAAACAATCAAGTGAATAAAATAACAAGAGTTTTCCTAGGATATAAGACTGTCCCAGACAGACTGTTACATCAAGGCTGAAATGTTTTGGGAGTGCGAACCTTGCATACAAGATAATTATGCAACGAACACCAAGAAACATATAACCACAAAAAATGATATCTCAAAATACATATAGTTTTTCTACAAATACAATTAAAATTGTTGGTGAGATTTTGACTTCGATTTTTTTAAAAGTGTTAATGATAATCAACCAACTAAACAAATTCATATTAGTTATCTTAAAATAAATATTATTTGAAGAACTAATATAGTGAATATTTGATGTACTGATAATATATCATTTTAAAGCAAATTATAAATTTTATCACTTAACTTTTTTCTTGTTCCTGTTTTGGTTACTATAATTAAAAATATATAATTTACTCAATGAACTTTTGACTTGCACTTATTTTGGTCACTCAGTGTTAAATCATAAATAGAAGAGTGACATGAAAGCCACACATGTTGATGTGGACTGCTTTTTATTGACATGGAATCTATGTGTCATTCATATCATTTTTTTTTTTTATCTTTTTTCTCCCAAGATGAAAGTTTTATAATTTCATCTATGTGTTACTTTGATGCTGCAATTACCATTTTCTAATGCCTTCTTTAACCACTCAAGGTATAAAAAATCATCTATTGTCTTCTACCACTCTATCAATTTAGATTTTACCTAAATCACTTTAAAATTTATAAAACTTAAACCTAAACCCTAAACTCATGAAACTCTACATCACTTATATAATATCCACCATTCGATCAACGTGGAATCAAGATATACAGCTCATTTCCTCTGTCTTCACCTTCTCACTATAGGGATTTGGAAGAAGATATTTTATCATCGAAAAATCAAAGAGAAATTGATGTTAGGGTTTTTTTAAAAATAAAAAATAAAGAAAGTTTTGGGGCTCTTTCATAATTTTTAAAACAAAAATCTATAATCATAACAGTGTTATGTATTTAACGAAAGAGTGATAAAAATAAGGGCAAATCAAAAGTTTAGTGAGTAAATTGAAAATGTTTAAACTTCAATGATGAAAATAAGAGTGAGAAGAAAGTTGAATGATAAAATTTATAGTTTATTTAAGCGACCTCAATGGTTAAAGGATTCGTTGTTGTCCCTTGAAATCTCGGGTTCAAACATTGCCTATGTGAGAATGAGTAGGGGCATAACTTGGAAGGAAACAACACGAGCCTCAGTCCCAACCAATTATATTTTAAGGTTAAATAATATTAAAAATACATACTTGGGAAACAGATAAAAGTAACTTTATGCTGCCCCTCTCAATTAAAAAACAATTAGATACCACTATGTGGTCATTAATAATTAGATATTATTGAGTAACCTCTATCTTTTTTTTATCGCTTTTAACAAATTTTTAGTTCCACATGTCGGTATAAATCTTATTGTGAAATGATTAAGAGTCTTTAAACAGATACTATCATGCGTTCACTCTAAATTTATTAAAAATAAAATAAAACTAAATTTATTCAAAATTATTTTTAATGATATGCTATTATTTGACTCATTAAAAATATCAAATATATATTTTTTCCGATACTAAAATTCATAAAAAAATATATTAAGCTATCTTCAGTTGCTTTCAATATAGTTAGGGTTCATTAATTGGAGTGTAAATTTTATTCAATTAACCAAGGAATTCAGTTGCTACCATATCAGGGGACGTTTTTTTTAATCTTTGATTAAATAGTTTTAAATTAATGAATTTTTTTATGATTTCTATGAAACGTTGTGAAGAAAATAAATCAGTTTGAACACATTTATCACGTGGGTGTATACTTCGGAATTTGGTGGGCATCAAGTGGCAATCGTGAGTAAATGTTTCCCAGGTTGAATCCATCCACTGTAAATCCCATACAGCCAACTAGTATACATGGCTACTTCTTAACGGTTATTGAGAATATTTTTTTTTTCAAAAAAGGAATGAAATTGGAATAAATGTTCTCGGATAAATAAAAACCGACCAGTAATCGAGTTTCTTGAGGTTTAAGTCATAATAACTTCACTGGCAAACCCATGAAATTATCTTCCAAGTAAAGTCAAACCACGTAGGGTTTATACAAACACCCGCTGTTTCGCAAGGAAAGTAACAGCCTGGTGTCCTGCACAAGCCTACTAGCCCACCATTTACAAAACCTCCTTCCCCCCTCCCCCCCGCTCCCCCCCCCCTGGTTTAATTTAGATTGCATCCCTCTAGTACACTGAAATCAGGGATTTAATCTCTTCAGTTTATTTGGTATACTTTGATCTTTTACTTTTATAATTTTATTCAAACAAAAAAATATTATGCATTAAACTAACATGAAACTTTATTATTAATTAAATATAATTGATTGGTCTATATCAAGTTAAAGTAGATAGATGGATTAAGTATCAAAGTTTAGCAAAATAGACGGACTATGACCAAATTTAATCCTTTTTCCTCCAGTTCCCTACTATATAAGTAGCATCGATAGTCTCTTTTAGGCATAGATTCGTCTAGTTAAATATAGTGTTTTTCTTTCTTTTTTAGCCTTTTGAGTATTTGTTATCAGTGTTACTCAAAAAAAAAAGTATTTGTTATCAGTGAAGTGATATTGTGGAAATGGCCTCAAGTTCAAGCTGGACTGCAAAGCAAAACAAGTTGTTCGAGAATGCTTTGGCAATCTATGACAAGGATACACCAGACCTGTGGCAGAAGCTAGCCAGGGCTGTCGGAGGCAAAACCGTGGAGGAGGTGAAACTGCAGTACGATAAGCTTGTGGAAGATATCAAGCAGATTGAGTCTGGCAATATCCCTTTACCTCCTTATGGTAAGAAACCCGGAGGCAGCAAAGGATACAATTACATGGATAAACAAAGGTAGTGATCCCTCTCCCATACAACAATCATTAAATAACCAACACAGGGATAGATAAGGGGAGCGGCCAGAGTAGTTGTCCTTGAAAACTTTAAATTCTCATATAATTTAGATATTTTCTTTGTATTCTTTATGTTCTATATCATAAAATTCTGCCTAAGTCGTTGAATGTAGACACGGTTACTTTTAACATACATTTATTAGTATTCCTTTATGTTTTCATGCAGGATGAGGAATCTAAGGCTGTAGGGAGTATGAAGCAGAAACAAAGAGTTTGGACCTTCAATAAAAGCAAAATGCAGCAAAAATTTGTTTTCATTACTGATCAAAGTTGTACCTTCCTTTACTTTTGCATATTTGTACTTCGTTAAATGTTGCTTTTATGAACATGGATCCTTCGATTGATGTCTTTTTCTTTATATATATATTACACAAAAAGTGGAGAAAAACTTCTTTATTAGTCAAACATACAATGTTTACAAAGAACTGAATTAAGCAATTAACGAGAGGTACAACTATATATATATATATATATATAAGCTGTTAACCCTTAACAAACTCTATCTTAAAAAACTAACCTATTAATTATAAGTTTTACCATCCCCTCAAGATGGAGACCGGTGAATGTTAAGAAGTCCCAGCTTAGCCATGAGGTTTGTAAAACTTGGTGAAGAAAGTGCTTTAGTAAAAATGTCTTCCAACTAATTTGCTGAACGAACATGGAAGAGTTTGATAAAACCAACAGTAACCTCATCCCCTATTGATAGGTGCTTTATTTAGTTATTATTTTGCCTTTAAATTGCTCTTTAGTTGTTAGTTTTTGTGACCGAATTGTTCGTTTTGATTCATTTTCTGTGCAGGACACTAGGTTCTGGAAATTACACTAAAAGGACATAATTCTGCAGTTTTTTTATTTTCGGAATCAAGGCTGGATTATTGGGCAGGACTCCGGGCAGAACGCAGACGAGGCGATGAGTGAGCACCTTTGAGAAGGTCCAGTCAACGGTTCTAGAAGGACGAATGGATCAGCTGCACATTTCTAAAAGTTGAATTCAAATTAAACTCATGTTTTTAGGATTTTAGTTTAAATATTTTAAGAATTATCTTTAGGAAATATCTCTTATTTTTAGGAATTATATTTTCCTTGTTTTTAGGATTTTTGAAGGCTATAAATAGCCTCTTAGGGTAAGCCTAAAAACACATTAAAAAATCATTCTTCTTCTTTCTCTGATTTTTATGAAAGTTTTTCTTTGTTTTTATTTTTATTTTTATTTTTAAAGATGCTAAGTATGCTTGTCATACTTAGCTAATTTCTCCATAACCAATGGTTGAAGCGATGTCTTAATCCTATTGTGAGGATTGAAAAGCACTAAAATAACTTCGAGTTATTTTCTCAATTTTTTGGAGGAATAAGATTTGTAATCGACCCATCTTTTTAAAATCAAAACACTTTTTAATCAAAAAGTCGACGTTGGTTCGGAAGTTGTTCTGATTTGTAGTTGTGAGGAAGAATCGGCTGGTAGCAAGTTCGACTATATGTGAACACACTTAGCAGCGGTCCACTAAGGGAAATTGAGACCAGGCTCGATTCTCATTGAGGTAACATAGTCCGAGTCAGGTTTTTCCAGATCTATAAAATAGTTTGGTGCTGACAATGATAGTCATAGTTAGTCTGCGTAAAGGACTGATATCCATAAATAGATTTTGGGCTATCGGTTCACAAAAGATAAACAAGTTACAGGGTTTGGGCATGTAAATTGTAACCGTCGAATAACCGAAGCAAAAATGTATTCCGAGGATCAATTGGAATTTGAGGCAAAAGCTGAAGCCCAAGGCTAATTCTACTATAAATTTCTCTTTATCACTTTAAATTTATTTATTTAATTATTTTCTTTTATTTAATTCTTATCTTTTATTTTAAAAACAATTTTTAATCCCCCTATTTTATCTCATCCAAAACTCTATCTTATCTCATCCTTATCTAAATCAGAAAGTTCAATTCATTAGAAACACCAGAGTCCCTATGGTCGACCCTGCTTCCCTATTATACTCTCTATCTCTTTGTTTATTATTATAAAGCCAAAATTATTTTGACAGTAAAACGATGCCTTTCAAAATTGGCGCTGTTGTCAGGGACTTCGACTAAAGTAACTGACAAAGTTGTTTCCTTTTTATTTATGACTAGAAGTAATCCAGGTGATTTGGTAGAATTTGATCTAAAAATCAAAGCTCGAGCCAGACGAATTCACGTAAAAACGCTTTGAGAAAAAAGAAGGAAACGACAACATGAACAAATGGAGCATTCAGATCCAAAATTAAATCTAGAAGGATCATCTTCTTTGATACAAATGAAGAACTGATAACTGAAGATACACTAGGCGTAGAGAATATGCTAGAATCAATGTCAGATCAGATGATTCAACAGTTAGCTGCGACACCTGTCGTACAACAACCTCTCTGCATCACTTTTCCTCAAGGTGCAACTCTGTTTACTACGAAAACGGACCTTATTCATATTCTTCCTATATTCCATGAGCTTCCCAATGAAAGTTCACACAAACATCTCACAGAGTTTCATATGGTCTTTTCAAGCATGAAACCTGAAGGAGTATCTGAAAACCAAATAAAACTACGGGCTTTCCCTTTTCTTTATCTGGTTTAGCCAAAGAATGTCTATTTTATTTACCTCTCAATTCTATAAATACTTGGGCTAATTTAACTAGATTTTTTCTTGATAGGTTTTTACTAGGAACAACTAGTAAATTAAGGAGAAGCATTTTGGGAATAAGACAAAAAGATGGATAATTGCTTTACTATTACTGGGAGCTATTTAAAAAGCTTTGTGCAAGTTGTCCACAACATGAATTATCCGAACAAACATTCCTCTAATATTTCTATAAAAGGGCTGCTTCCAATGGAGAAGAAAACTATAGATGCTTCTAGTGGAGGAGCTATTGTGAACAAAACAACAGTTACAACAAGGGAATTAATTTCGACAATGGCTTCCAACTCTTAGTAGTTTGGCATTTTAAGTGAACCCAGTCGATGGCACTACAACAAATTTGTCAATTTATGACAAAATTTCTATATGACGTTACGTATATCGTCACAAAACATACTATAATGTGACATTTTTTATTTTCGTCATATTTATTGATTAATGGTATATATTTTATGATAATTTTAAAAATGATCATTGATTTTTGTCACTATATGTTTGGCGCCAAAATCTTCCCACCAAATTATTTGGTGGGAAACCTTTTAATGACATTTAGATAAAATAATGACGTAAAATCGTCTCCAATGAAAAACATGTATTAGTGATGATTTATTATAATGACGATTGAATTAGTGGTGTTGCATATTTGTCACTAATAAATTTTATTCATGACAATTTAATTTATCATATTTTATAAGACACTAAAAGTGACATTTTATTATTGTCACAAAAATAGTTTAGACGAAATCAATTATTTGTCATCTGTTTTATCTCTCTTTTTATATGAAGATTTTAAAAGATGTTAAGAAATTATGTCAGTTAATGTTAAAAATAAGATAATCTAACAACCTTATTAATAATGCAATTTATAGAGTTTTTTTGTGTTTTTTATTTTATTGACATGATTCTATTTAGATTATCTCACATTCAAAGTTTTTTTAGAGTAAAACATAAAATAATAAATTGTTAAAAAGAAATGAGCAGATGATTTTTTATATATTATTGTACTTCTATGATTTTCATGGTGTTACATCAAGTGTTTAGGAAAAAATAGATATTTATTCTTGATCATAGAAATACCCATAAAGTTTAGTATATTTAGATACATATAACATCAATAATGTTAAAATATAAAATATTACTCTTTTATATAAAAAACTAATATTATAAAACAATTGTCATAAAAAATTAAATTATAAAACTCTTAAATTATAAAAACAATAACTTTCAACATAAATACTTCAACCGTCTTTGTATAAAAAAATAACAATCAACAGTTCATAAATAACATAGCTACAAAATAGGTTCTATATCAGTCATATTCATCACATTCAATTTCATCCCTCTAATGTCATCTCACTCTCTTGATCACTGTCAACCAAAACATTCACATTATCTACAATATCACAGTTAATAACAGTTGTTGTAATGTCATCCCTATGCAAAGATATATTTGCTGAAAACTATATTTCCATATCGCGATCATAAATTTCAAAATCTTCATCAACGTTAGAGACTTCATCGTTTTCATCAGTTTGCATCTTTGGAACATCATTTAAATGTCTATGGTAAAACTTTTGAATTACTCTCCAATCTTTACCTAACTTGATATCATCCAAATAAAAAACCTGCTTAGCTTGAATTGCCAAGATAAAAGGGTCACTTTCATACCAACATTTGCTAATATTGACACTTAGCAAATGACCGTCTTTGTGAATTATCCTCTTTTTATCACCCAAGTCAAACCACTTGCACTTGAACAAAACAACTTTATAATCATTGATATAATTCAACAGAATAATATCATCCAGTATACCATAAAAGTTGATTTGGTCCTCGTTGTGATTATCTTCAACTGTCACTCCACTATTTTGACTTGTCAGATGTTCATCACGTGCTATAATGTAGAATCTAACCCCATTAAAAATGCAACCTGCGTATTTTTTAACACGTCTATCAGGACCATAAGATAAAGAAAACAATTCACTAGATATTCTTTCTGAACCTTGATTGGCAACCTGTAATTTACATGAAATAAAATAAGCATAAATTATAATCGATATTTGCACAATTTAGAAAAAAAATTATAATATAATATACTTACATAATTTTTAAACCATAAGGGAAATTGCTCTCTATGTCTTTCTTCAATATACAATGAACTCTGCAGCTAAATCTCCATTTTATGTTTTCTGTTTTAATAAACATAATATAAGTTATATGACATTAAAAGTAAATCTTACATGAATGAGTGAATGGTAAGTAAATTACTTACTCCATAAATGGTTCAACTTCATCACAATTTGTCAATATATACCATTGCATCATTTCAAACTCTTGGTCAGACAAGAATTCATATTTTTTACTTTCTAAAGAACGAAAACTTCCTGAAAAAAAATGAGGAGACTTATACAATTCACTGTTGGTGGCCTTAATCACATGGGAAATCATATTTCAAGCAAATCTATGTAGTGGAATATCACGTGTAATTTATATAAATTCAATAGTATTGTTTCAATTAATTGGCAATAAAATAATATTTATTTTATTTTTATTAAACACAAATGGTAACAGCATTATTCTGATCTCATTGCTAATATATACTTATA